CGCGCGTATATTTTAATACCCCGATCGTGTGGAACGATACACAGTGGATCAGAATAAAAATTTAGTAGCTCAAATGGTTAAAAATAAATTTTTCTTGAATTTCTCTGAAACCCACATCTATTTATCCTTGAGTTCCAAATGTATTGTTCATGAATAAGAACAGAAATTATGTAACTGAAGTTTCGAAGCCGAAAAATACCTATGACTTATGCCACTTTCACTCTTGACTGGTACATTTAATAGAAATTAGGAATTTATGTGAACATTTTCGGTTCGTTGATATTTATCCGATGACTGGGTGCAAAGGGTTAAGTATTCCCGCTAACCTCCAATTACCGGAAATTGTTATTAACATTTTTTTCCCCCTCAGAAGGTTACATTTCATTAGAGTATTCGTTGTTGATATTAAATTAGATATAGTTTCGTTCGCGTGGCAGCCGGTAATTTCGCTTCCAAAATTTTATGAAATGCGGACCGCATATTACGCAGGCTGTATATTAAATCGAAATGGCGGGAAATTTCATGGTGCCGCGGCGCAGGTTTGAATTATTAAGCGAAATTAAATTTGCTTCATGTCGGTGAATCTTAATCAGGTTTAACGCGATTTTATTAATAATGAAACATAGTAGAGACTCGGGTGACGGAATTTATCAAAACATATTTATTATTGTTAAACAGATTTATTTATTGTTATTTTATACGTGGTCACAGACGCGTACTCATACTCATCAGACATATAAGACTCGTCTAATTGAGTAATTAGTATATTTTTTTCGAGTTCTACATTTCAGGTGAAAAGTGACCAGATCACTGGTCGTGTCGTAAACCATACATAATCGCCTAGCCGAGCAATTAGTATGCTTATATATTATAACTCTCGGGTCAAAAGTGACTCTGCCACCGGCAGTGTTGTAAAGGATATGGACTAGTCAAGTAATTAGTATAATTTTTTAACATTTTAAAGCTCGGGTCCAAAGTGACCCGGTCACTGGTAATGTGAAAGACACGAATAACCTCTTCAAGGTCACAGTCACGGTTTTTTTCACCATCTCGAGATTACCATGGAGCTCGAACCCTCTCGAGAATCTCCTCCCGTTGCACCCTGTCCTTGTAATTCAACCTCCCACCCCGTGCAGACGCGAACCGCAGGTAACACGGAATATCCAATTTCCAGAATAAAATAAAGGTGGCTTCGTGGTATTGAAAAAAACGTTGTTTGGACCGGTTCACAGACAGATATCGATAGATCGCGATAAAAGAGGTATCATGACAAAGCATGTATCGCCCATTTGTCGCGGTTCTACGCTGAAACGATAAAAATAACTGTTGAAAACATTGGCCGTTGACTGGTATCCAATATGGCCGGGTCACTGGCGACCCATCGACGTACACATTCATCAAACTGTTTACGAGTGAGAATTTTTGGGAGATCCTGTCATGGGCCGTGGTTGACCAAGTGGTGGGTCATTATCGACCCAGTCATCGACTTTGGCGGACTGTACTACAAGGATTAATTGAAGTACACACTTTTCCAACTCTGGGGCAGTGTATGAAGCAACGGTAGGACGAGTTATACGATTATAATTCTCCTCGTGTACGTTGGTGCCTTTCAGGGGATATAATTAAGATGGATTAAACTGGGAGGCAGGAGACAAATGGTCTGCGGTATCTTCCCGCTGTTGTGGTGTTCACTTTGACTTCTTTGTGATGTAGGAAGTGGAAATGCGCCATGCAACGTGTTATACCATTTGCAAACGTGTTTGTAGTTGATTAGCATTTAAATTAATACCTGTCTGGCGGGTATTCATTGATAATCGTGTAGTCTTGCGATAGAAATAAAATGGGCACTAGAATTATGCTTCTAATTGTAGGTACTTGATTGCTTTGTGTATAGAGATATATTTCTAGGTCTTATCAATGATCTACAAACTATGCAAAAATCTAAAGAAATTCGAAATAGGTGTTGACGAAAAATGTAGGTGACTTGGTTAATTGCCAGACTTAATTGGTACCAAGACATGTGGATAGACCTTCAAAATTATTCCACATAAATTGTTTTAACGAACCTAGCAAATCGTTACAAGAGAATCTTTATAAAAAGATCTTTATTAGAGGTTGAGGTGAAGCTAATGGGTAGCATGTTCGTAATAGCACCAAAGGATTCAAGTACCTCTGATATAATAAGTACAAAACTAAGTCTGACCACACTCTTCCAATCAGGATATTTATTTTTTATCTACCTCTAGCCAGAATTAGGAATTTGGGTAACCAAATGCTCTCATGAACCATTTAACCCTTCGATAGTCAAACTCCAGGAATTAAGTATTATTCTTACCAGGAATGAAGTATTTTTCTTAATTTACTTAGGATCCGATTATGATTTCAGGTACTACTATAAATAGGGGTATCTAGTTAGATCTACCTCAACAGAAAGTTCAGAGCTACCTCGATTATTCTAATCAGTTCACTAGCATCTCATGTACCCAAGTCACAATGAACAATTTGGGTAACCAAGAATGTACCCTCGCGAGCAAACTCTGCTTCCGCTAGGGGAAAAAGTGGCGTGGGGAAAGGGCTTTCTACCATTTGGATTCGGAAGTTTCTGAAATTTATGTCAAATTAACATTTATTTCAGTGCTTAAAATAAATTTACTAAGTGGTAAGAGACTTTTCTTCTACGCGACTTTTTCCTCTAGTGGAAGTCGAGTTTCCTCGCGAGGGTACATCCATATGTGACCAAACCAAATGAATGCAATACAACATAACCTAGACCAAACACGAATGCAACACAACCTAACCTAGAACAAATATGAATGCCATAAAGTATGTAGTCTGGACTCCAGGAACAAGGTTGCCTCTGGACGTTTTATTGCATCGTTTACGAGTAACAGGTTCTCAAGGAAGCTGGAACTTATTAGAATCGCCGGGGCGAAGACACGTGAGGAGAAAACATGGACGGAAGACATAATTAGGACGAGCTAGCCTCCGTTTAAGTTTCCGAGCACTAGTCGCTACCATTACAAATTCTGCGGCCTTGTTCTTTGCTCGTTAAATTTAATGCCGGCCAATTCCCTCGTCTCCAGTGTGCTCGCTTGCACGCTTCGGAGGATCGTGGCGCTTGAGCAGTCATCTTCTAAAAATCTGCTTTCGCGGGAATTGTTCACCGTTTAGTTGCAGTCTCCTTTATTGGCCACGGTTCTCCGTCTGTTCTATGCTGATTTATATCTCTGAAAGATGATTTGAACCTGCATTTTTCGGTATATTAACGGATTTTATTTTGATCCTATTTCTGTAATCTAAAAACACTTTTGTTGTCCCAGTTGCTAGCCAACCTGTCTACATTTTTCACAGTTTGTTTCTTATTCAAATAGATAGCTATCTTATCAGAGTGTGAAAATAGTACAGCTTTAGATGTTAGACATCTGAGGTGTACAGTTACTTCATGAGTCCAAATTCCGAGGAATCATTTAGACTTCAAAATGTAACAATTAGTAATCCAGGTCTTGGATACTTAAATGTAGTAAATAGAAGACGGCAGATTGATGAATTTGTCATGTACTCAGATAATGAGTAAATGAAAACAGAAGTTCGGATATAAAAAAAGATAAGAAAATTTTGTATGAAATACACTTATATTTGAAACGCATAAAATAATTAATGAACTCAAAAGAGCAAAATAATTATTTTTAGCAAATAATTTATCGTAAGAATGATTCTCTTTATAAAATTCATCTACAATTTTATATGACGAATAATAAAAGCGTGGGGCGCCCTTATTAGGAAATCAAATTCCACAGAAGTTGGGTTAGGATCGTGAAGCGAAAGCGTGAATAATATTCAGCCGTGGTGAATTGAAGCTTCAACAGGTATAATTGATTGAAGAAATGACACAACGACAAGAAATATGTGGGGAATAAAACAGGAATTATTGACTACGCGAAATTCCAACGTCATTTCCAATTGCAAATTTTTTACCTTAAACGATGCAGGCAGTGTTGCCAGTCTGGCAATGGTACCTTGAGTTTTGTAGCATAATGTAGTATAAGCAAAAAAAATGTTCAGCCATTTGCCTATGACGTTTTGCCTCTTGAAATTTGACACCTTTAGGCACACGGCCTCCGCCAAACGCAAGATTTCCGACCAACCAGACTGGCGGTTTTGTGATTGGCAACGCTGTCTACATCGTTTAAGGTAAACAAATTTACATTTCGAAATGACGGTAGAATTTTCGTAGCCATCTGTCCGTCTATATTGTATGACCCGTTGCAGTCATCGACTTTCACTCGCAGTTAACGCCGAGACGTTGACTATGACAAGTGCCGGCGTAAATTACTTTCCTGTTTGTGAGCCTCTCTCACCCCTTGACCTTATTCTTCGTTTTCTCTTCACTGCGGGAAACAAAAGGATACAGTAACGTTTTCTCTTGAATGAATATTCAATTTTCAGTTTCTTTATTATATAGAAACTATGTATTATATATCGAGAGTCTGATTTACGAATATTTTCTTAAAAATGTTGTTTCCTTCAGTTTTCTTCTAATTTTCCTTTGTGCTAGCAACATTCTCAAAAACAGATTTTTGTAGGTTTCACCCAAGCCTTTGATCATTCAGAAATTGCTACCCTATGTGCCATGAAACTATAGAAAAATAATGAAAAATATCCACATCATTTTTGTGGATTGTTTTATTTGAAAAACGTGTCTGTTGCCAAATGGCAACACTGTGCATTCAAGATACAATATATTATTTTCTTAATATCTGGTGTTTTAATTTTACTTGGAATCTGATTGAATAGTGAGTTAAAAATGTATGTCATCTATCTCTCAGTTGCAGTGGCAATTGTACATTAATCTAGTTCTGTCCATGCCCTTTGTATAAGTAGATTCAGAGCACAAAAGTGTACTTATATTGCATAGAGGTAAAATGATTTCAGGAGATTATATTGAAGTGTATTTGCAGTGATCGGTGGAGTAAAGGAAGTATGGTCTCCAATGTTTTCAGAGATGAGCGGTTCTCGACTTGGCAGGGGCCGAGGTGGCCGCCTGGCCGTATACGGGGGTTGTGGCGTGGTGGTTGTTCTTTTGGTGATCCTTTACCGGGCCGCTACCTCGGAGATGGCCAGGCTTCGAGAACTTCACGTCCAGTGTGCTCATCAGCAGGAGGCCCTTGCTGCTCAGCTTCAAGGTACGAATCACTGTCCCCCGACAGTTAGGTATCCTTAACGTCTTGCTCTCGTATTTCACCAGTAATGATAGATCTGAGATCATTTAAAACAATATGTGGATACCAGAAATGTGTACATAATATAATTTGCTTCTCTCTAAAGGTGTAAATACTAACAGGGTTAAATAAAATTGTAATGTTTCCATGGACACATTAATACGTATGGAAGATATACACAATATTCATTGTATAGTAGATGTTGAAAGTTGCAGAACATCAAAGGGTTTACTTAAAGTTAACACATTACTTGTCTGTGAACAAGAGTATTCATGGACCTGTGCAATTGGTTTTCAGTTATATTTGAGTACAAAGTGCGACTGGAGAAGTCTCTGGCTGAGGAGAAGAGCTCAAACGTGGCAGTGAAGCAGGAGCTCCAGCAACGTGCCTCTAGAGAGAAGTCCCTACGCGACAAGGATGGCAGAGAGGCGATGCAGAGGTTTGAATCCTTGCAGCAGACGTACAAGATCCTGCAGTCGGAGCACCAGGATCTCCAGGAGGAGTGCAAGAAACACGAGAGCCAAGCCCTGGAGGATATGAACAAGCTGGAAGGAACGCTTCAAGAGCTACGGATTCACATGAATCATCTGAAGAACAAGTACCTGGAAGTGGAGACAGATAAGGGAAGAATTGAGGACAAGTACAAAGATCTATTAAAGAATCATGGCAATACGAACAGCACTATTGAGCATCTCAAAAAGGAAGTGTTTCAGTTGACCCGTGAACTGGAAGAAGCTAGGGTATGAGGTTATGTTTATTTCTATTTCTTGTCTGTAAGCCAGACTTGTTCAGAGAATAAAAATTATACTTTGGTAGTGACCGGTTCCAAGCAGTTTCATTTCATTAGAAAAACTTCAGAGCACTAAGGATAACTACTAGTTTCAGTATTAGAATTCAAGTGTAACTCTGTCAAAGGCAGACGGAAACTATTAGATCAGTGTTCGATATGGGAATATTGTATTGCAACGGTTCCTGAACTCTTCTGTTGTCAGAAATTGTCGAAAAGCACTTCGCCTGGCCCAAGCATAGCGAGCCCCCGAACTTCCCAGAAAACGGGGCAAGACATGAAGTCCGCTGATGCAGGGAACGCTGGGCAACCGAATCGTCCGTCGCCACTGCAACAGGTAAGTCCACTGAACAACAACGACAATAATAATCCGCAGCCCGTACACCCGCCCCCTAATCACTACGCGATCGGGGACTTCGTAAAATCGAACGACCAACCTGTCGTCGACGACACGAACGAGAACAACAACATTCGTTTCGCCCAGAAGAACGGAAACATCGTTCCCGTGGGCCCGAACGAAGCGAGAGACCCGGAGCAGCTGCGTGACTCGCTGCCGTTGCCATTGCCCTATGACGTTTACGAGAAAAACAAGCAGGAAGACGATCAGCGTGTAGACAACGATCAGAAATCTGGAGATGAGAGAAATGAGAACCCTGATGAGGATCAGCCGAAACAGGTGATACCACCGCCCAGTAGAGACAATGAGAATGTTGGCGACAAAAAGTCATCTTCAAACTCACCGAGGCACGAGCTCCTATTGTCCAACGAGAACACTGGTGCCCTACAGAAACCGTAAAGAAAGAGAAATTGTGGGTCAGAATAATGTGGAGGTTGTTAGGCAAAAGTTTCAATCAGTTTTGTTGCTTAAGCCAGTCTGCTGTCTGACTGATAAAATTAGGCTTGGTAGCTACAAACTGTTTGCTGGGGTCTTGTCAAATCCTTCAAGATAAGTTCTGTGATGAGTTTGAAAGAGAAGCATACAATGAAGTCACTTGAGAGGTCAATTTCTTGATAAATGGTTATGCTTCGGGTCAGATTTTTGCTGTTGATTTTGAAGAGACACTTGCACCGTTTGACAAGAAGCACTTGATACGTAAACATTTACAAGCTAAGGTATTTTTTGTTTTACACAAACCAGAAAGAAATTCATGCTCCATCCTGTGGAGATTTGAAGGAAGTGTGACTTTATGCACTTCAGTTGTAGATCTGCTTTGCAGGGATCTGAGATTCCTTTTTGGTGTAACTTAACTTGGTAATATGTTTACACATGCACGTAACTTGCATGGTTTTTCTTTTTATGACTGGGTGCTGTAGATAATTTTTCACTAATCGATTCTGGACAATTTGGTGGCAATCAATAGGATATCAGATTATCTTTGCATTTCTAGTGAATTGTTGTGGATTGAGTGTGTTCAATGGTGGTGCTCGATACGAGCAGTTTGTTTGGCTAAAGACGTTAGAAATTTATTGTTAATGAGGTTAGAAAATTGTATGTATAGGAAAGTGTTAAACGAGAGAAAGAGGTAATGAAATCTTGAATGCATGACACGACAACTTAGCTGGTAATTTTATTTCTGTCATTTCACTTAATATTAATGATTCCATTCGTTTTTAAAAGGTGATATCAGTGATATGCGAGTTGCCTTACGGACTATTTTGTAATTAAGTGAGGGTGATAGAGAAGTCTAGTGCCAAGAATGCGAACTTTCGCAGTCTTTAGAATGCTATTAAAAATGGGGTGAAATATAATGACAGATGTGTACACAAGTATTTTATATATATATATTTTTTTTTATTGGCGTCAGCGTGAACTTTGTCACGCATTGTCTCAAATTTGTGCGTGTGTTTATCAGAAACCCGAACTGTAAAGAACTATGAGTTTGTTTATAATGTTTCGTTAATCTATACAAAATTCACTAACATGTTTTATTTATATTATTTTAACGGCTGAAGGTTTTTACAAATTTTTACATTAGGTATTAACATTTACTTTTACGTAGGCTTCTTAATTAAGAATTTGATCAAATGCAATATTTTAGACACTTGCTGTAATAAACAAAAGGTTTCGGTGATTTTTTTTGTCACAATTATTTTAGCGATTGTGTGATTGTCGATCGCATTTTCATTTCACCTTTTTGGTTTAACTTGTGCTGTCAATACTTAATGATTTGTATCTGTGAAGAAGAATGTTGTAGTCTGTGAAGAAGGAACAAAAGAATCATGTACATGTAGCCTGCAAACCGTATTGAATGTGCCTGTATGTTCGTGTCAATGATGCCTTAATAAATTGTTATTATTTTGATCTGCTTGCATTTTTTCTGGCACCCTTGCACAACGTAACGAAACTAAAATCTGCTTCTATTTTACTAGTCTGCTACAATGATACATATAAATCTGCATTAATCCCTTAAAAGTTAAAAAAACAAATGAAGAAAGTGAAAATAATTGGTGAGTTGGCTTTCTTTTTACCATTCTCTTATCTCAATAATATTAATACATGAGGCATTAATTGGAGACTCTGCTAATTGAAATGGATCACAGAAGATTAGAACTTTTTTGCTCTTACTTTTTTATTAAACGAAACTACCCCGCAGTCGGTTTTTGCTATTATAGTTGCATTTGAGTGTTGTTTCTATGAAATGTCATTTGAAACAAAGTTCAAGTGTTAAGAAAAAAATTATAAATCGTATCTTTAGAATATTTTCACTTCTGCTGGATGGTTCTCTATTCCTCAAGCAGCATGCTTTATACAAATTTCTATAGTAATATGCTTTTGTAGCTTCAAATAAGAGGCCTAGGTTTGAAAAACACCTATTCTGTTTTATCAAAAGAATTCTTACAGGTAAGTGAATGCTCTAAAACTTGCTGCATTTAATAACTTCAAAACTTCTTTTACATTATTATTACAGGTTACTTAAAACATATTATTCGAAAGTATATATTAACACATCTGCACTGTAATTTACTTATATTTAACACAATCCGATCTCAAAAATATTTACAAGAAATCAACTCAGTAATTATTGACTTAATGCTCGAAAACAAATATCATATCAGCATTTAATTTTTAGTGTATCAGCATTTTAATATACTTCACATGGAACTTTTATCCCTAGAAGCCGTAGGTAGATATCTGCACCATTTTGCTTTTAAAATTCAGTATAACAAAGAGTATAATAATGTTTAGCTTAGAATCCAACTTCTAATACTTAGAGCCCGATAGAATCCTTCATAGAGTACATTTTAGTGTGATTTCAATTTCTGTAAATTGAATCAAACCTACTAATAACTTAAAGAATTGTCATTGTCATCTAAACAATTTTATTACAGCGATCAAGAATTTTCATTTAATCCCTGAATGAATCAATTTTTCAGAGCACTGCAGCAAGTAGTTCCATGAAGTCCATCCCAGCAATGAGGCTGGAGACATCAACGTCTGCGAGTAACCCTAATCCAGCATCCACAGCCGCGGATAAATCGCTTCCGGCCGCGAAACAGGCGTTGAAGGCCAAACTTCCGATGGGTGTACCGCCGATTCCGGTGATGATCGATCTGAGGCAAGAGAATCGCAAGGAGAAACTGGACGAGGACGCAACAAGGAAGAAGATCGATCCCAAAAAGAAGGACACAGGGAGCCAGGAACACGAGGTTGAAAATGAAAATCTGGATCCGGGGTTTCCGGAAAGAAAAAACGATGGACAGATGTCTGACAGGCGGGGATCACCCGATGTCGGTCCTGGTGTCCAGGAATTTGGGGACGAACTCAATAATCTCCCACTTCCTGGGTGTGTACATAATCTTACGTCAAATTCATTTACTTCCAGGGTGATCGTCCTTTAACAATTAATACAAGGCGAGCCGCACAACTGGATCAAGTCACATTCCTTTTTCTGGTTGTGGTTAGAAAAACATTTTTAGAGGTTTGAATGGTTCGAAGAGAATCTTACTTGAACTTTCTAAACCTTTAAATGGGTACTTTCCGTAACCTTGTGACCAGAAAACTGATCACTTTGACCAGCTGTATTGAACAATTTGTACATCCATCGAGAAATTCTCATTTCCCATTGACATTTATAAGAATATAATAGACAGATAACGTGTCGTTCGAAGCATGTATTAAAACACATCCCAATTACTTTTAGCCTCAATGATGGAGACAGAATTCTTGACGAGCATTATGACGTGGCTGATGACGCGAAGGAGCTCCAACAGAAGAATAGTGACACTAACTTAAATGAGGATGAGGATGAAGCTGAAGGTGATTGGATTCTCCAAGAATATTTTTATTAAATTATTTTTTGTTTGTCGAGCTTTTGTTTGATTCTTTTAGACGAGGACGATCAAATAGACTATTCACAGAACTTGAAGCAAGTGAAACGTGATTGAGAAAACATGGTTAAAGGTAGGGTAGCATCACCACTTAAGAAGCCATCAGTTACTTGAACACTGGGTTATGTTGAGGACAATTCAAGTCTGACAGAAATACTTATGATTACGGATTTGGACTGCAAGAAGGACTCGTAATTAACAATTATGGTTAGTGACAACCTTTTACTTCTTTATTACTTAATGGCTACCAGGATGAGTTCTCTGTTAAACAGAGAATTTCACTGTTTCTCCATTGTACGTCACAATTGAGAAAACTCGTACAAGGTTGTAGCCAAAATATTTAGATAGTCGATAATTGTACCCAGATACTATTTAAGAATCGCTCTGCTCGGCTAAGAAACAAATTGTATTTTTATTCGAAAAATTTCTGGGTAGGTTCGAGCAACGCGTCGATAGATGAAACAGACTGTATTTTTCTAGATTTAAATGTACTATAAGAAAAAGCAAATTAGGTATGTCACGGTAAGAAAATAATCTCTGTTGTAAAAGTTCACTCTTTCAATGGCAGAGGCACGCACGTGTCATTTTCATTAAAAGTGGAATGTGTAATGTAAGCTTGAATTGGATTAATTTCGAAGACATTTACATTGCTTTCTATTTGTATGGATTTTTTTTTTTTGCATCGTAATTGAATTCGTGGTTTTCGTTTGTGGAAAACCACCATTCTGCCAATGTGAGAGTCAATCGCTTTCTTCCCTGAACGAGACGACGTAAGCGGAATCGTGATTTAAACCGAGTGGTGTATTCAGGCGACTGTTCTTATCGAAGTCGTGCAATATGATCGATACGAAATAAATAAACCGTGAGATTTATTTATTGCCTACGAGCCATTATTCAGGCGCTAACAATCAAGACTTAAACAGAATGAAAGATAATATACATTAAGGAATTTACTACGGAAAATAGACTAATATTTGTTATGATGTAGATATCGACTTATACACTGACACGGAACAGTGACTTACTTGTACATAAAATTCTTTTGGTAATAAAAGTTGAAAAATCAGTTTATTGCCTCCGTCGTACTTTCTTGTGATTTTTAAGGAACATAATTATGTGAACAACAGTTTAGGCAGGTCTTATTGAGACAATCATTTAATATTGTTACTCTATGTATAGTGAATATACAAGTACGGGCACAAATTAGGTGTTTTCTAATATAGATTGCCTAAAACGAAAAGAACATTTATCTCGTACATTTTATATAATTTTCTGATAAAAAATCAATTCTAATTTTCATCTTGTAAAAAGTACTTCACTCCCATTGTAGTACAGGGTTTTTACATTTTTGGAGGAATTGTAGTATAGCGCCACCTACTGTTCAGGATTAGTTCAGCTGGTCACCGATAAGTGGCACTACAATGCAATTTTTTTTAAAAACAATTGCACGTCCTCGACCTGGGGAGGCGCCAATAGTTCTTCCGACACTCGACAGATGTCACAAGTACTTTCTGGTTGTTTATGTGATTATTAATGACAGGGAATTAATCTATGTTCTTTAAGCTTCAATCTGAATGCTTGGTCAAGGCGAGTGCTGTCAGCATAACGTTGGAAGAGTTGTCCAAAGTGAACTGAGCGGGGTACGCATGACGAGATACAGTGTCAACCGGTACAAACAAATGTGATGTTGTAAATTTACTTGTAATTACTGGTTTGCAGCCGTTAGAGAGTATTAATCTACGTTTCAAGCATTCAGATTGAAGCTTAAAGTACATAGATTAATTCTCTGTCATTGATAATAACAATAAACAACCAGAACACTGTTAAAATCGCATTTAATCGCGGAGTACCATTGTTTTTTCGACCGGTGGCGCCATCCATGGCAATTCGCTCAAACTGCTAGCCAAATCATACCGACAAGTGAGTGAAAATTCCTAATGATAGAAAAATCTGAATATCTTAATAATTAGGCGCTTCAAATGAAAGCAGTTAGTCTCAAATTACTCCTGACGATCCTATGCATCGACCCAATACTGCAGAACCCCACAATCGGAAGAATTATTTCTGTCAACACGACATACATGTATCAACAATGGTAGAAATAATTTGCCTAATTGTAGGGTTCTGCTCCATTCGTTCGAAGCATTGAATCGTGGGGAATATTTTAAGACTAGTAACCTTAAATTCCAGCTCTTAAGTACTGAGATATTCGCATTTTTCTATTATTAAGAATTTTCACTCACTTGTCGGTATGATTTGGCTAGCAGTTTGAGCGAATCTCCACGGGTGGCGCCACCAGTCAATAAGTGATACCACGTTCTCACCTCACGGGGTCTTTGACGCCTCCACCTGGGGTTCTATGACCCCACGCCTCAAGAGACACGGGATGTTCAGTGATATTTCGTTGGCCTCCGGAACAATTAGATGTATACGTATGGACTACACATTCATAACTTGGAACTTAAGCATTTGCTTAAGAATAAGTAGTGACTATGAATCCCGGCCATAGACTGCAGCTTCTCGTGGAAACAGTTAAAACAAACGATCACGGTAACACGTGCTTGCTGATGTATAAAGTTCGTACAGTTATCGACCTGGAATATCCAAGCAAACCGCGGCGAATAATGGATCTTCGGAAAGTTTCAAATCGACGTTTACGTGGGATCTAACACAACTATTTGGCAAAAGACATTCAAAGAAATGATTAAATTGAAATATAATACATTCGTTAAATAATTAAATATACGAATAAATATATATAAATTAGTCGATAAATTATTAATTATCGACGTTGCAAATTACTTAAAACAAGTTTTCCATTAAATTCTCTTGCTTCTATCAGCTAAAAACGTGATTAAATCTTACAACATCTACATTCCGTTAACAATTCAATTGTATTGTATCCATATAAAACATTTTGTTTATATAAAGCTTAATTTTAATTCATTTTTAACAATGTTTACTTGCAATTACATTAAAAAATAATCCTCCCCAATGGTTGCGGGACGGCTCTTTCCGAAATGAAGGACAGAAAACTTTTTACTCTTCTATTAATTAAGATACATACAGTGCGTAGCATTCTGCGACGGTGTAACGCATAATTAATTAACCGTATCTCCGGCTTGTACCTTGTGTTTGCAAGAAAGTACACACGATATTTATAAAACCCGTGAAATTTCGTTACTCGGAAACAGATTCTGTCGGACAGGGAAGGATGGGAGGTAGCAGAGGCGCCACTTCGTTCTCATACGTGTTTCCAAAACTAATTTCCTACACGTCGGCTCATTAAAATAATTATGTTATTCACGTAACAGTCATTATACTTTCGTTACACCCGGCAACAAGCTTCTCGTGTGCGTTCTATCGCACTCTCCTCTTACCATTGATCCCCCGCTCGAATAAAGCTGTCGATTCTCCTTAAATTGTTCCCTAACCTCGAAAAGTACCTCTATCTCGACGGTGATTGCACCTCCATTATGGTATTTTATTTGAACGAACGAAACAAGTGAAAGTAAAGAGGGTTGAAATAGAACCATTCAGCCACCTATGAACCCTTGTTCTAGCTTAAGGATCGAGTATGTTATAACAGAACCACGTGACATAACCTATTTCAAAGTTTTCCAGAAACTCCACGCGATTACTCTGGGATCGATTTAAAGAAATTCAGTGAAACGTATTTTTCCTTGAAAAAGTAAAGAAGTTTTTCAACCATTTAGATTCCCTCCAAAAAGATACTGTCAAGTATACTTAAAATATTATGTCTGTCAGTAAGTCTACTATCCACTTCCTGGACCAATTAATATAAAAATAAATGACTCCGAGTGATCCCCCGCCCACTACCTATCGCGCAAAGTTCCTAAACCTATACAAAGTCCCTTAATACCTTCATAAAAATTCCCCCGAGCGGTGGTTAAATGTGTCCAGGTTATCCGACAAAGTGACGAAAGTGCTCCTCCGAGACTACATGATCATCCTGAGAGAAGAACTTTCTCGAAATGTCCTCATACTGGACACATTACTCACTGAAGATTTTATCCCCTATGGAACTTTGTCAACCTTTCACCATACTGCAGCTGGATATCCACTTGATCAGGTCCACTTTTCACAGCTGGACCCGACCTTTCCCTAGTTTCTTTCAAAATTGTTTTTAACCCTCATCCGTCCTTCGTTTTCCCAACTTAATTTGTCCCTCGCTGTCAAATTGACCAAGTGGTAAAAATTAATATAACGAAATTATAAATAGTTAAATTTGCAAATTCTTTAAAGTAAAAGTCACGATGGGTCCGCCAAATTTATCTACGCATGAAAGAGTAACGTCAATTCTTAGGAGAAAACTGTGTCAAATTAACAACAAGCGACGGGACGAGGGTTAATGTATTTCGTCAAAGTCGAAAATGTTTTTAAAACTCTATCATTTTATAATATATATTATATTGTGATTTTCTCTTCGCGTTGTTTTTAATTAATTTTGCAAAACATATTACAATTTTTTTTTGAGATTTAAAAAAACAGTCACCTCCAACGTATATATCTTACTTCGTTACTTCAATTTTTAATGAATATTAAATTTCTCATAAAACAAAAGCGTTTTGTTATTCAACAGATGCCAACAAAGGAAATTTAACCTCACTGTAAAATATTACATTTCGAAATAATGATAAATAAGTGACAGAATCCATTGTTCCTTCTCGACTTCACGATCCTCTATTGCGTCACACGACGAAGTTACCGTCACGCAGATACAGCCGGAAGCGTCCAATCTCTCGTGCGAGGTATATAAACCACAGGCTGGATGTGAGACGCACCTGGAACAGGCGTGAAGTCCAAAATGTCGGGCGCAAGCGTGCTTCTATTAATAGCATTCTTGCTGGTCCCATGTTTGACGCTGAACGTTCTGCGTAGATACGAGTCGGAGTGCAGACTGCAAGTGGGGCCAGGTCCTTGTCAAAGGGCCTGCGAGCTGGAAAAGATCGGGCTCACGAAGGACGGGAAATTCAACGTGACTCGAGCCATGGGAATGGTGGACCAAGGGGGACTGGAATTATATCCGGACAACAAGAGAAATTTACTGAAGGCAGCGCTCCACGTCTGCCACAGGGAGATCATGCCCGAGCAAAGTTTGGACAATTGCTCCGCCGCCTCCGCGGTGTACTATTGCGTCCGAGGACTCCTTCGGCCGGAGAAGTTGTATCAAAAAGAGGTATAAGTATATACTTAAGAGGGAATTTGGGTAACCCGAAAATTCCGATTCCTTTTTGACCCTAGAACTACCGACGATAAACGCATGTTTGCTTCGATCGGTCGAGAAACGTGAGAAACTTTTGAAAATTTAGAAATTCACTAGTTTCTTCACTTTCATATTGTAATAAAAGGTGCAGGAGATCTGAGGACATGTATTGTCATAACTAGACTGCGGATTTTTATGCAGAATGAAATTTTCTAAAGTAATTTATAAAGACATGAGCGAATGTAGGAATTTAGTTTTCCTCTTAAGTGTCTTATTGAGTTCAAAATAAAATAGAGAACTCGTTGGATCCAATGAAACTTCTGTCTTTTATTGTATTTCACAGAGCCCTATAGGCTGTAAATGCATAAAATCCGCAGTCTAGTCATAACATTTTTTTATGTTAAACTCTGTGGATGGAACAACGGATAATTTTTCTATTTGCGAATTACTATTTTGACTATATCCCCATCATTTTATTTCTTAATTTATTAGATTATACGCGGTGGGAATAATGGTCCTTGATCATTTGGCCCTGAATCAAGTGATCAAGAGACATCCTTTATCACAGAGTAGCTAAGTAATGGGATCTGGATAGCTATTCGCCTGTTCAAGTGAACGTGCAAACTAAGCAAAAAGTTGATTATCCATTAAAATTTATAAATTGTTCTAAATGTTTCAGATTCCATATAGAAGTTATGGCTGGAAATTGCTACCTTGTAGATGTGGAAAGTTTCGAGGATATTCTGGCCTAAATGATATCAGCTACCAGCAGTAAAGGACCGCAAGGAATTTCGGAAATTAACGGATTCTTTTGGGTTGTTTGTTAAATACAGCACATTTCTAACCTGGCACAGTGAAATAAATGTTTAAGATGCTTGAGAATTCGGTCTTGTTGAGTCGATACCGGTTGATTAGAAGGATGTTAACCTTCCATTCGTACTAATGCCGGTTAATACTGCCGCGAATCGATTGGAATTGGAAATAGCTGAATTGTATCCAGCCTGACCCTCGGTGGGTTCCGTAACGGGCATTTGTATAAATTCGGTATTAAAATGAAAATATTCCGAACCGCCCAGCCTTTTTATTCCACCAGGAAGCAATTACTTAATCCCATCTTTTCTAAGGCGCCTCCTCTCTGCCCTGGGTCCTTCGCATTCATTCGAGGCAAAGTACTTTACACTAAACACAGGTTCACGATGGGACAAAAGTCAGATTAAATTTTTATTTTTAATACGTCCTTCGTCGAGTAAATAATGGTCCTTTTTTCGTAACGGCCACGGGGCTTAAAAATGGCCACAGATGTTCCTCCTGTCCTAATGAATCGAGATCCCCCAGACAGCAAAGAGACTATGAAAAGAAAAAGAGTTAGCGTACCGTCAAAGGAATTTACCAACAACATCCTTGAGCCAGGAAGTTGAAACAGGACAAAAGAGGGACTTCCCGTAATCCCATTAATCATTGCTCTTCCGGTTTTGTTAACGAATCTCTTTCAAACGGGTGAACACGGTTCCTTTAACCAACGCTGGTCTCTCCTATTCATCGTGAAATTCGACATGCACCGCATACGATGGAAATTAACAGATGACTCGATTTTTAACTTCCTTTTTTCGCAACTGACAGCACTGGCATAGTTTAAAACGAGGATAAAAGGGAGACAGGTAATTGGTTTATTTCATCTATTTTTTCCTCCCGATGGATTTTCTCGAGAAGTTTGATTTTCCTCAAACCACTAGGCTGTCGTTTCCGTTTCTTAATCTCGCCGCCGTATTATCGGTGGCAGCATCCGTCGTCGATTCGATGTTACACGATCGATTTTCATTCGGCTGCAGTTGTTCAGGCGCTTCCGTAATTAATTCATTGAATCTGGTGGCCACTTGCTTCCATTTCACCAGGTCAGCTGGCTGAAATGGGAAACGATCGATCAGTCGCAGAAGAATCTGTATACGTGTGCGTATACTTTGACCCTATTGCCTATTGGATTCGATCATTGGTTTGCGCCCGTCTGAAAAGTCGATCTAGAATTGCCCTCGTGTCGAGTACAGTGACTTTATAGAAGGTCATGGACTGCCATATGATAGAGTCGGGTTTAAACTTAATGGGTTAACGCTCTAACCTTAATAAGTACAAGCTCTAAATAGGTTAAAGCTTCAGCCTTAATGGGCTAAGGCTTAATAGGTTATAGTTCTAATCTTAATAAGTTAAAACTCTAAATAGGTTAAGTCCCTAAACTTAATGGATTAAAGTTTTAACACCTTAATAGTTTAAGTCTCTAACGTTAATAGGTTAGAGTTGTAAGTAGGTTCAGGCTTCAACCTTCATAAGACCTAACACTTTAATAGGTTAAGACTTCAATCTTAATAAGTTAAAGCTCTAAATAGGTTAAGGCTCTAATCTTAGTAAGTTAATGCTCTAAATAGGTTAAGGCTCTAATCTTACTAGGTTAAGGCTCCAGTTTTAGTAAATTAATGCTCTAAATAGATTAAGGCTCTGAGTTTAATAGGTTACGGCCTAAGACTCTAACACTTTAATAGGTTAAGACTTCAATCTTAATAAGTTAAAGCTCTAAATTGGTTAAGGCTCTAATCTTAGTAAGTTAATACTCTAAATAGGTTAAGGCTCTAACCTTACTAGGTTAAGGCTCCAGTCTTAGTAAATTAATGCTCTAAATAGGTTAAGGCTCTAAGTTTAATAGGTTACGGCCTAAGACTCTAACACTTTAATAGGTTAAGACTTCAATCTTAATAAGTTAAAGCTCTAAATAGATTAAAGCTCTAATCTTAGTAAGTTAATGCTCTAAATATATTAAGGCTCTAAGTTTAATAGGTTACGGCCTAAGACTCTAACACTTTAATAGGTTAAGGCTTTAATCTTGAGGAAGTTATACCCCTGAAAAGGTAAGGCTCTAACTTTAACAGGTTAAATCTCTAAATGGATCAAGGCTCTAACCGTAATACAGTAAGTATCCACCAACCATATACATATGTAGATCCCAAGAAGTACCAGTTCAGGTCCCACAGACCAGCACAAGATGGAGATTTCATTCGTGTACACATACTATCCTAAATGACTAGACTGCGGATTTTATGCATTTATTGCCTATAGGGGTCTGTAAAATACAGTAAAATACAAAACTTTCATCAGTTCCAGTCAGTTTTCTAGTTCATTTCGAACCTAATATGATACTTAAGAAAATAAAGAAATTTCCACATTTGCTCTTCTCTGTATAAATTGCTTTAGAAAATACGATTTTGCATAAAAATCCGCAGTACATATTTGTCTAATTAGAGATCATCGGTTACAAGTTCGCAGGTCTTACCGTTAACGTGAAAAATACCGGGAGCAGCGCTATCGGAAGTGGCGAGCCGCGTAGTTCCGATCTCTCGGACGGCGGCCCGGAAAGTGTCAAGTGTCTCAGTAAATCAAGAAGCTCTGCCAACAGCTCCCCGTGACGTCCACCGACGTCCTGTCGTATCAATCCCAGCGCGTCCCTTGCGATCACGTGGGCGGTCACCCCTGGATTGTCAGCTGGTCGATGGAAAATTACCATTTAATGACCCCTCGTTCTTACGGCCCTTGTGATAGGGGTAGGGGAATTTATGGTAACCATTGGGTCGCGGCTAGGTGTTTCGTTACGTTCCCTACGTTTACCGTTCGGGTCTGTTCTTTGGTCTCTGCATGCAGATCCCCAGATAACACATGACGCCTTGAAGACGTCCATTTTACGGCTATTTTAAGTCTAACAAGGGAAGGCACGGAAGTGTCCCACTCCGATTTTGATGAAACTTCGTATGTCCGTTAAGCAGTCAAAAATAAGGGATACGTATTTTTTTTTATCGAATAAGACGCGACTTTAAGGGGTGAAACCACCTCTCGAAGTTTCGACCCGAAAGTACTATCTCGAAAACCAGAGGAGATACATGAAAACTTCTAATGGACGAGGTTTGCGGTTTTTTTTATGTAGAATAATATGGTGCTAACAAATTGTCCAAAATATAATTTGTTTATAACAACAAAATTTCGGATCGAAATTTCGAGGGGTGGTTTTACCACTTAAAGTCGCGTCTCAACCGATAAAAAAAAATACGTGTCCCTTATTTTTGACTGCTTAACAAACATTCGCGTATGCTAAAGGAAATTTCGAGTTTAAAGAATTGTAGAGACGTGGGTTTGAGGGTATTACAGAATTCCATTACGTTATTACATAACCTAAAAAAAGATTCATTTAGTATATTAATTTTCGGGACGATGTGTACATATAGTTAATAATTTAAGGTACATTTTGGTAAATATGGAAGGAACGTTTGTTTAGTTAAAAAAAAATAAATGATACTCGATGGTTTTTTTGGCGTATGCTAAAGGAGACTTTGAATTCGGAGTATTGTTAAAGATATATGTATAGGAGTTGCGCATTCAGGGAAGTACGGAATTACCCAAAAGGAGTTCCTGCACGTGCTGAGGCATCACTGGTTTCTTCAAATGGCCCAGGAAGAGCTGCAACGCTGCAGCGCACTCGAGGGCCGCGTTGTCATTGCCCAAATGAGGTTTCTCCCCCTTCTTTAGGGAATTTAGAATTCTCGTACGGATATCACGGCGTCCGGCTCGTCGAAACAGACCTTCCTCTCTGGCGTCTTGCGTGGAAAATATAAATTTTTCATCCTGTTTTTTGTAAATATTTACAATAAGGTAGCCACTTCCGATTTCGATGATTTTTCAATATGTTGTCAAGGTCATCACCCTGAGTTGTGTTGTAGAGGTTTTAGTTGGGGTCACCATTTGTAAAAAAAGTCACTCAGGAGGGTTACCTTGACAACATATGTCAAGGTCAAGGTCATTTTACTTATCAATACTATTAAAATACGATACTAAACATTTTTGATAATAACTATTTTAGAAACGATGAACCCGAGCTAAAATTAAAACCTTCAGAATATTAATCTGGATGATGACCTTGAGAAGATATTAAAAAATCATCGAAATCTAAGGTGGCTTTCTTATTGTAAATATTTATATACCCTGTTTTTTCCTTCCTTTCAATTAATCTTTTATCTACGAATTGGCTCTTGATTTGTTAATAATAAGTAGAAAACTGTGAATCTATAGGTGTGAATAAATGATTGAGAATTGAAGAAAGATGTTAGTTTCTACGTTGAGGAATCAAGGTTGCAGAGTCTTTGGGAAACTTTATTTATGTTGGTTTGTCATAATATTTGGAATAATTGTTTAAACGACGTGTTATTGTTACGTACGTTGTTTGAGGAAGTTTACGATCTGCTTGACCGCTTGCAACGACTTCTTCGATATTATGTCGTCGTCTGTGTCCCGCCTGCGAAGAAATCGATTCGAAGGTGAACGTTTGTCACAATATTTATCGAGACGGTGATCGAGGAAGCTTGATCAAACAGCACTTTTTTCGACAAATTAATAACATATTTTTTTTAAGTAAGTATTAAGGTCTATAGTATACTTTAAAATGTATAAACAATTACATCTTGTCACCATACTGTATTAAATTTTACATGTTTTAATTTCAATTAAATTTAATTCTAATTCATCTATTTTTATCGTTTCTTTAATGGAATTTTTATAAGACTATTGTTTTATTCTACTTTTAATTGTATTAAACTGTTGAGAAATAAAACATGTTAAGGCTCTCACTATAATTGCGAACCGTGTCGAATTTCCTATCGAATGTAAAGTTTGACAAACAAAATAAATTATTTACTATTTGCAAATAACGAATATATGGACTTCGCGTGTTATTCATCGATCATCCGGTTGAAATTGGCCCAATACCGTTTTCAAACAATATGTTCTTTAAATACTATATTTTTCCATCCGTTCTATATTTTTCCCCATACCTATACGAACCGTCCAATCATGAAAGTGGTGTAACTCCATTTTCCAGGAAGATTGAGTTAATAGCAATTATTCCGTTCACACGGTTACAATTGTGAACTTTTTTTATTTCGAAACAATTTACAGTCCGGATTTTTAACTGCCCATGTATATTGGTTGCTACAAGTTTCGTTGTTAAATTACAAAATCATTAATTATAATAATGGTGCAAGTCCACTTTCCGCAAAGTCCACTCAGAAATTAGCTAAACTACTTTAATATTCTAAGAGCCTTTCTGAGACACAAATAGGGTAAAAAAGGTGTTTAAGAAATAAACAAAAATAAATTGAAAAAATATGCGATTTATGAGGTATCTACTAAAATTAACATATTTATCTACAAAATGAATATGTACTTTTAAATTTAAATAATTTTAAATGAATACTTTAAATCAATATTTTCACGTTTTTTCAAATTTTAATATTCCCATCCAGTAAACGTATGTTCCACTATAAAAACTAATTTTATGAAAATAAAGTGTCATTACACGTGCTTAAATTATATTAAAAATGGAAACTCGATATATCGGCTCAAGGTATTTTTCGGAGATCCAAAAAGCCCATATACATATCGGCTTTAAGGTACCAAAAGGATTAGAAAGAAATAGTGCATTACTAATATTAGGAAAACAAAAACTGTCCAACTCTGCCAAACACTAATATCTACTTGCAACTTCATTAAATACTATAATCCATCGAAGATAACACATGATGCCCAATAACGCCTTAAAGACGGCTTAAAGGCGTCTTAGACTTAAAATAGCCGTAAAATAGGCGTCTTTAAGGCGTCATATGCTGGGAAAATGTCCCTCGACGATCGTAGCAATAGCCAGAGAACAACAACGGTTCTTGGTTTGTCTTCAGGCGAGTGCAGCATCATCGAAAAGTTTTCTACTCCGAAAATTGATTCGAAATGCAGGCAAACGACGATGAATTATTAATAGGAGCCAAGACCGAGATTTCGACGAAAATAATGTTTTCCTTCCAGCGACTTCGTTTGCGAATCGAAGAATAAATTTTCCAAGGACCGTCTAATATCCATTCGAATCGTCCAATTGCAGCATCATCGTGACGCAGTGGTAGATCACCATGACGTTCGTGCAGTGGTCCAGACGTTTCAACCGTGACGTTTCGCGATTACAGATACCGAACGCCACTTTTAGTAGATTTTTCCTGCTTCTGGAAGCATCATCGGAGCTTACGATGTCTTCCACCAGATCGAACAGTCGATCCACGTCGAAGACGCCATCTTTGATCACGTGGGATCGTTCCAATTCGCAGGCTGCTTGGCAGGGGTCCAGCGGTGAGTTCAACGCCATCTGGCAGGACTCGGCGGCACTGACGTCCGTCGCCAAGATGGCGATTGATAGTGCTATCAGAAGCAAATACACTTTGTACATTCTTGTTCTAGTTTGATTTTGAGTTTGACGTTTTTTCCCGATGTTTCGAGGTTTATGTAGGAGATGGATCCTGTCGAAATGGCGAACGTTGCACGCAACGTCGCGTGATATTGCGTTGTAGAGAATGGTAAATTGCGCTAGTTTGGAGATTCGACGGCGAGATAGAATTAGGGATAGAATTTGCTAACGCGAGGTGTAAAGTGTAATCCATACCGATCTGGAAATTAAGGTATGTTTTTTTATATAATTTTATTAGGATTAATTTGGTGGTTCAGCGATTTATAGAAACAATATATATTAAGTCGATAGAAGGTTATCTGTACAATTAAGATCGTAGATCACTGACCAATCTGGCCTCTGGGGTTTCAACTGGAAGCAACAATTATAATTATGTGGGATAAAATTAGTATTTTATCGTAGAATTCGAGTAAAACAGCTTTATCTGTTCTTTCGTAACTTAAGGAAAATGTAAAGTTGCACGGATGTAGTCATTGTATTATCAAGCGCAAGAATAAGTAATTCACTATTTTTTAAATCCAATTCGTCTTCCCGCCGTTTCTGTTCCCTTAAAAATGGCGGGCGTTGGAGAATATGAACAGATATTATTTAAGATACACAAAATTTATTGAATGTTATTTTTTAAAATCTACTTTTAATAAATATATTTGACAAAACATGCTTACTTATTGGTGCACCTGATGATTATGGAAAATATAGGATTCCATATTTTAGAAATGTAGATTCAATAATATTTCATCAGTCAAACATGGCGCCTTCGATTGAAGGGAATAATATCTATCTAAAATCATAACTAGAATATGGTTTACATAATGTTACGTTAATGAATATAATTGCATACTCAAAGGTCAACAATTCAATGAAAAATTAACAAAAGGAATCGTAATTATCACCGGAAGAGTATAAGACACTAACAACCGCGTAAATAAATGGATGCTACGAATTTAAAAAATTTCCGACGTTATAATTTAATGCACAAGAATAATTAGACTCTTTCAGTGAATAAACATTCCCCGGAGAACCGAAATGAATGTAGAATTTGTTGACTCGGTTACGGGTACCAACAGGTTCCGAGTAAAATACGAACTTCCATCGGACATTATTAAACAATTCTTTATAAAGCCATAAAAATCTGCAGTCCAATAGCAATACACAGCAGGAATTTATTATTACGGCTGCTGACATCTCAAACCGTCGCACAAAAGAATATCGCGAAACGATGAGTCCCTCTCTGTCCCGACGAATACTTACAACTGCGATTATAAAACGGCAAAAACACAGGGAGGATTATTTATTATTCATGATTTTTCGATGTTCAGCCAGCCGTGTAGTCGATACCTAATTTACTTTTATTTCCGACCGAACGACTGGTAATCCGAACACGCTATGGATTTTTTCACGGCGAAGCATAAAGTAACAAATATAATATAAATAATAACAGGGCCGGGGCTTGGTTGCTTGAAATGTCATCGCGCTGGGTTTGTTTTCTACTAGCTGACAAAGGTTCGGTTACGTCGGGAACATATACAGGATGAGTCAATAAGAATTACAGTGAATCCTCGATGAGTGTTCTAAGGCTCCGACGACATTGAAATTTTTATAAATAGGTCATTTTACGGGTCTTAAAATATTCTACCAGATGGTACGTAAAACAACATGTCTTTCTATTTGGAAAAACGAAGTTGACCTTCGTATGACCTCTACGCGTCCACCTATAAGAAAACTATTCTGATGAACGTTCGGTCAGACATTCTTTTCAGGGTTATGTTCAGGTGGCCTGTTTTAGGTGTACCAAATACAAGGAACTTCAGTTTTCTCGTTCCGCGCGTGTTTGTTTCGAAACCGACTTCGCGCGCAATTACGCTAATCATCGTTTTCTGCACAAGCAATTACGTGCACGCGGGCAAACGTAATTACGGTTATACTGCGTGGAGTTTATCTGTTGTATTAATAGGTTGAGCCATTAATATCTTATTTACCTTTTTTTAATTTCCTTCATTTGTAAACGATTTGCAATTAACCTATATTTGTCCATAATGTCGTTTGGATTATTATTAGACTGCGGAAGTTGCATTTATAGCGTCTCAGAGGTTTAAAAAACGCAATAAAACGAAGGTTCAAATAAAGTTTAATATTATTTATGTGTTATTTTAACGCAGTAAAGTCTTTAGTACTGAATTCAAAATTCTGTCCCATTTTAAGTTTAAATTGTGAATTTGCAACAATTGAAACTTCATAATTTCTATGAAAAGGGGAGTTTCCATGGACACTTAAAACAGCCTAAAATCGATCAATTATTATACCGATCGGATCATGTTTATTTACAATAGGTGTCACGGATTTTTCTTTTTTGAAAGAATTTTGGAACCTTTGGAGGAAGTTATTCACGGGGAAATAGAATAATTTACGCGATAATCTAATCAGGACGTACATTTTTTCGATCTTTCGTGTTGTTCCTCGTAACTATTTATTTAAACACGACGGAACTAGGGGATAATTGTGAGTTTGAAAAATTACGATAATCGTCCACTCGTGTTTGTTCGTCGACCGGAAGAACGAGAAATGACGCGTTGTTTATGCAGCCATCTTGAAAATTAAAGTTAGTTGCATAAATACCCGCCCATACGTACAGTACATTTTACATTAGTTAATTAATATTAAAATTTCACTGATAAAGTTTAATTGATGTTTGTAGAAATCTTGATTACCCAGAGATTATTTGTAAATTTTGGTATTCCGTAATTACGATGAAAAGGAGAGTTTCCATGAACACCTAAAACAGTCTAAAATCGATCGAATACAAGCCAAAACAGTCCGAGACCGCGATTCAAGCGTCTTTCGCAACGATTCTTCCTAAACAATATTACGAAAATTATTTTCCAAACAGAAATCCGTGTTCCATTTCCTCTCTTCCTTTCGCAAAGCCTCGGAATGTGGATCAAGGCCACCTTGACTCGCCTCTTTCGAACATCGATGAGTAAATGATCGAATCATCCCGATATCTTGCACCAACTGCGCGAATCTGATGCAACTATGGACAAAACAACAACAAATCTTACTAAAAAAGAGAAACAGTACAAATCACGTCCTTGTCGTTTTTTTTTACATATATAAGGCGACCACGATCAAGCCGACGCTTAATATCCCAGTAGCATGTTCGAGGGACACTTTCGAAGACGTGTTTTACTTTGTCTAGTCGTGAACGCGATCCTGGTTGCTGGATCGCCGCGGACCTACTCGAATGGTGTACCGAGACGGATCAGGCATGCTTCCTGTTCCTCGTGTCGCCGAGACCGCCCAAGCGCCCTGGCAAATTGGTAAGAAACCGGATGTGACGTGTGATCTTCCTTAGACGATCCACCAAGATAAACCAAAACCCAATGGCAACCGTATAAGAAATCGATCAATCGGATGAAACTACCTTTAAAAACCTTATCCAGGGAATTAGTTAAATGAAATTGTAGTAAAAAATAGAATCGAGTCGCTGCCGAGGCTAGTAATGACGTAAGAAGTCGATAAATCCGAAGAAAACTGACTTGAAATAGTCGAATCTACGGAATTTGTTGAATGAAATAACAGTAAAAAGTAGTATTGGGAGGTAAAACTTGTACTTGTGTAAAACTTGTGGAAGGTAAAACTAAACTCCAACAAAGTAAAAACGATTCATTTGTTTAAATAGTAAAACCTTTTTCCAGGTACGCGCCGCCATCTTCAGGCGAATACCGTGGCGGCGACTCAGAGACCAGCGGATGGCCCAGTGGCCAGCAGTTCCAACCAAGTGCCTCCTTTAATTCGAATCCCTATTCGTACAATCCCCCGAATCCGTACATCCGAGCCCCTGGAGGCCGAGGCGGCCCAGGGATCAACAGGTCCGGGGGCACCTGCAAACGCGAGAATCCCTTCGAGCCCAGGAACGTCAATTCTAACGTGGCTGCTGCACCAGCCGCCCCTGTTCACGGTCTAGTCACGCCAGCGACACCCTACCAGCCTCGCCGCCCGATGTCCAGGAGCCTGGATAGGTCCTCGTACAGAAAGCCTAACTTCCACGACCTGATCAAACGTCAGTTTGAGACGCCAGTGAACGAGGAATACCCTGAATACGATACTCCTATAGCGAGGCCTTCTTTGGAGGATCCTACAACGAAATTGGGCGTCGTCTACAGAGCTGACAAGCAGGATGTTGATCCTGATGAGGATGAACACGGCTATCTTTATCCGTCAGACTATCCTAGGCCACTGGACTTTCCTTTGCCTGATGAAAGGGGACAAGCACCTCAGATGGCTCAGAGGTTCGTTCAACCACACAGTGATCAGAGACAGTATGGTATGATTGATGGGTTTGGTCAGCCTCAAAGGGATCAGAGGGATTCCATCGTAGCTGATAGGTTTGGCCAGCCCCAGAGGGATCAGTCTAGGGACTACAATATGGCTGAGAGGTTCGTTCAGCCTCAAAGGGATCAGTCTAGGGATTCGATCATGCCTGACAGGTTCGTTCAACCTCAAAGAGATCAAAGGGATTCCATCATGGCTGACAGATTCGACCAGCCTCAAAGGGATCAGAGGGAATCCATCATGGCTGAAAGGTTCGTTCAAGCTCAAAGAGATCAAAGGGATTCCATCATGACTCACACATTCGACCAGCCTCAAAGGGATCAGAGGGAATCCATCATGCCTGAAAGGTTCGTTCAAGCTCAAAGAGATCAAAGGGATTCCATAATGGCTGACAGATTCGACCAGCCTCAAAGGGATCAGAGGGAATCCATCATGGCTGAAAGATTCGTTCAAGCTCAAAGAGATCAAAGGGATTCCATCATGACTGACAGATTCGACCAGCCTCAAAGGGATCAGAGGGAATCCATCATGGCTGAAAGGTTCGTTCAAGCTCAAAGAGATCAAAGGGATTCCATAATGGCTGACAGATTCGACCAGCCTCAAAGGGATCAGAGGGAATCCATCATGGCTGAAAGATTCGTTCAAGCTCAAAGAGATCAGAGGGATTCCATCATGGCTGAGAGGTTCGATCAGCCGAAAAGTGATCAGTCTAGGGACTACAGCATGGTGCATGTGCCAGAGGTCAGGTTCAACCCCTATAACCTACCACCGGAGCTGAACGTTCTGAAACTGATGCAGACGATCAACAGAGATGGAATCGTGGTCGGCAACGATAGCACGTGGGAGGACCAGAAACTGGAAGCTGAGAGGAGTTCGCCGAAGGTCGTGGAGAATGACGACGTGGAAGAGGCTGGGGCTGTTAAGGAGATGAATGACAGCGATCACGCTAATGGGGGCTTCGATTCGCAAGAGGAGAAGCTACCAGAGAAGTTCCAGGAGAGGAGGGATCTGGAGGATTGGGGAGTCCATGCGGAGAAGCTGGAGGTGCAGCAGGTTTCGATTTCCACGGAAAGTCTTCTGGTAGAATCTAGCACCGAATCTTCAATTCTTGACTTGTCCAATCGGGAATATAAACTGATGGCTTGATGTTTTGGTTGTGTATGTTGGACTCCATTAAAAGAGGCTAGGGAATTGTTGTTGTGTAATTGGATGCTAGCTAATTTTGTTGATAAGTTGTTTATATGGAATTGTGAGAACACAAACGTGTAGTGATTTAAGCATTTACCTAAAAATAGATTATACAAATTTTAGTATTCATTATATAAAGTATAAATCTGTGAGTCATTGAGTAGCTTTTGTCTACAGTTAGCAACCCTAGTCTCTTTCTACTGAATATTTTTATTGCATCATGCAAACGACTGTAATAATTGTACGAGCTTGAATAAAGATTATTATTATTGTAAGAATTTAACAATGTTTCATTATTTAAAATTTCGAGATGTCTCTTAAGGAATCATGTTATTATTAGTTCTGGTAACATGTAAGAAACAGCAATTAAAATAGATTTAAAATAATGTTGAATAGATTTTTAGCAGAAGTTAAACACTTTGTAAAAGTTCTACACAAGATGAAGCAGGAAATTTTCGATTATACAATCTTCCTATATAAACTACTGTACTTCATAAGCCTTCCATTGTTGAAAGAAACTTTTCATCTACTAGGAAGTTTGTAAAATAGTCTGTAAAATTTCACTAAAGTGCTATCTGCTCCACTTAAAGATAAAACACATTTCAAGGTCCTCGAGGGATGGATCTTTCATTGGTCCATTTTAAGAGGATAAATCTCTTCTTTTCCAAGTAAAAGTCTACACTAAATCCCTGCTCCTTCAAATGACAAAGCATTTCATTAAATTTCACTCTTTTCTTACTTAACAATACAATAATTTTAATTCTTCAAAATTCACACAGCTTGTCATTATGTGCTTTATGTTTAAAAAGGAATAACTATAATTAAATCCTCTACTGCAATATACAATAGTCTATGACTTATACATTCCTTATTATATAATTCATATATTCAAATATTTATATATTCAATTCATATTATTATTTCAATTGTCCCTAGTATCAAAGGTACCAAATAAATTATAATTCTTCAAACAGAATTTATAACTTATACAATATATATTTTTTTAAATTAATTTTAAATTCATTGAGTTATCAAGTTTTCATTGAGTCAAATTTTGTTTAAATTAAGTTAATCCTTAAATTTACTAACTTTTCTACGATTTAATGATTTCAGTTAGTTGTATAACAAGTGAATAGGTTAGGTCACTAATGCCCTGGCACATTTCTGCAAAATTCACGTGGTTATGTGCTTCATCATTAAAATGAGAACAGACAATAGTAAAAACAAGAATGAAGGAATCTCGTATTTTTTTAAAGAGGTTCATTTACCTTCGACAAGATCGTTATTGCCGGTTCAGCTGCCCGGAATCGTGCACGTCGAATTGCTCCTTTTAGATAAGGGTGGATTCTTAACAGAAATGGTTTCAGCACGTGCTTCCGTAGCAGCTGTTGTACTGCCGGTCCTAATCAAAGCGGCGAAGATAAGAAAAAGTTCTCCTTCCTTTCATGGTTTTCGAAGAAAGGGAAACTAGGGTGGATTGAGGCTTAAGTTACGCCGCGAAGCAATTCAAGAATTCTGCGGAGAATCCCGGAACAGTTTAGGGCGAACGGAATCAACTTCCGCTCGGCGGAACGGGAGAAAATGGCGGGAATATTGAAATCTTGAAAGTTGCTCCTGATTTCAATTGAAATATAAATACCCAACTTCTTGTTAAAGTGGAATTACGTTTTAGATTAATTTCTGGTTAAATAAATAGATAATTTCGTATTATATAATTATAATTCTATCTAATTGAAATTGAATGTTCGGTGTAAGTGTCGTACGAAATTTGTACAAAAATGGCGGGAATATTGAAATCTTGAAATTTGCTGCCATCTTTAAAATTAAAATAATAAATCACAGGGTTTTTTTTTCATTAAAGTGGAGTGAAGTTTTCGATAAATTAATAGTTAAATAAATAATTTCATATTACATAATATATAATTGTATTACCTACTTGAAATTGATATTTCGTTAGATATGTTTAATTAGATATACTGAACAATTTTACAATAATTATGGTTCATTATTAAACCGTAGATGGTCACGAAAATGATTGTTATCGAAAGGGAATATTTGCAAACATAAAAATGTTTAATTAAATCACAAATGAAACCAGAGCCTCGTTAAATTTCACTGACCTCTTTGCTATATTTTAACTCTTTCGCATTGGAAACGCGTAAAATGAGAAATCTATTAAATACAGACTCATCATTGCCTATAATTATCAATGAGCTACGTAACAAGATTTTTCGCGCGTAATTGGACCGCGCTTCATATATTAATTTAACATTTAATTATCAAGTTTTGTGCTTACGAAATAATGGACTCTGATTCCAGTTGCATTATTAAACTCGCCGTATCAGGTTATTCCGCGTTGCGTGTCATTGTTTGAAAGCAATGGCTCCGATACGCAGCTGAAAAGAAATGCGACGCGGCACATAATGCTGACGATAATGGGGAACAATCCGTTTCGTCATCGGTTAAAAACGTTCTGAGTTATGCAACGGTTCCATGTCGAAATGCAACGAAACTGCAAATAATTTGATCACCTGAAATATCGTTTAAACTAGAAACAATTCGACCTCGTTTAAGGGGTTGTTCTACTTTGACGGTTGAAAAAGTTAACAATGCAGAATATTGTAGAAAAACTAATAAAAATTGATAACTAATGAATAATTGATAACGTAATTAATTATTTCGAAACGGTACGATAAGTTCCGAGACGAGAAAGTCAATTGCATTAATCCAAAAAGAAAATTGTATATAACTTTGAAAATATTAATTCCTCAATCCATGTTTATTAGGACCTTTTTTTATCATCGTTTGACAAGTACTGTCTACCCCAGAAGTTATGAATCATTTTTCCATTTCCCCCTGTACAATAAACAAATAAACCTTGTAAGTTCACTCTCTTGAAATAGCAAAACCATTAATCAATCAACCCAACAAGTGACTAAATAGAACATAAAATATACATACAACTTATTTGTATCAATAATATAAATTTAAAATAAGAAAATATTCCAAAAACTTCGAACCAGTTTCCTTTCAAACCTGCCTAACGCATTTTGTTAACAAGATCCCAAATTAAAAAATATTATTCACGAGACTACCTTTGACCGAGTCACCATCAGACCCAGCAGTATCGAAATTCTGCGTGGTCAGCAGCGCTGCGTGTTTCGGCATGCGTGTACAATTTCGTCATCAGTAAACACGAATCCCCTTTAAAAGCTTGGCCCAGAGACCCGAATCTTCAGTTCATTCGACGAACAATCCAGCACAATGTATCTGAACAAGTGTCTTTCGTTCCTACTGGTGGGTCTGGTGGTGGTCCAGGCGCTCCCAGCGAGCAAACAGGAGAAGAAATCGGTAACTGACGAGGCTACGCTGACCACGAAGGGTCTAGAGCTAGAGGAAGTCGGCAGCGACAAGAACAGGGACAAGAAATCCACTTCATTCTGCGTGGAGGTCCACCCAGACTCCACATCAACCCTAACGGAGAAGGCTCAGCTGCAGGTGGCGCCAGTTCATACTCTGAACTTCGTGCCCCAGGCTCAGATGGTGCCCCAGATGCAGACCTACAACATCCAACCGATGCAACAACAGGTCCAGGCAATGAACGTGATCCAAGGAGCTCAATTGGTCCCCCAACAATCCTTCGTGATGCCCCAACAAGTGGTGTCCCAACAAGTTCTGTCCCACCAGGTGGTACCCCAAACCATCCAGATCATCCAACCGTCCCAACCTTGCTCCCAGAGCAACGTGGAAGTCATCGAACAGAAACCAGCGCCCACCCCAGCGCCCACTCCAGCCCCAAAACCCAAGGAAGTCATCGTGGAACCAGTCCAGGAAACTAAGCAAAACGAGAAGATAATCGTACCCCAAATGGAACGGTTCGAGACTTTCAACATAGTTCCCGTGGCACCTGCCTGCAAGGAGGAGCTGGTCGTTGTGCCCCAGAAGCCTCTTGTTGTTGTGCCAGAACCGACCGTAGTTAAGGTGCCCAACTGCTCGCATGGATCCCATCAGGGGATGGTCACCCAGTGCAACTGCAGACAGCAGGCTGTCTCTGGTTTGAGGACCAATGGCATGGCGGTCGATCCATTGATGGCGATGAGGGCGCGAGCTTTCAATGGGCCCTATTCTGGGAGGATGATGGTCCCCGAGTACCATGTTGCTAGGCACTTCTAAGTGGTCCGAAGATGGTACGTTGTTTTTTTAGTCTTGACCATTGGGTAATAATCCTGATTTCGGTAACGGTGGATATTTGGTGTTCTGATTGCTTGGTTATGTTTATTGATCAGTTTGAGTAATGTGTTCTTGGTGTGAGGTCTAATTCTGATCTTGTTTGGTTCAACAGGTGTGATTCAGTCGATTCAATGACCCCATTGTGACACCATCGGGATCAACATTAGAAATGCAGAAAGTTGAAATAAAAATTAATATACGTATATAATTGTGTATTTTTTTTAAATATTCATTACCCTTTGCATCCCAATAAGGTTCTTTTTAAGGAGTTACTTGAATCTTTCTTTTGATCCACGAAGTAGGGAGCGTTGGAGCAGTGGGTGGGTCAGTTCTGACCTATCAGCATGATCTAACTGTATGGATACTCGTTTTGGCGTTAGATACACAGTTCGATGAGTGCACTCATCGACGGGTCGTCAGTGACTCGATCATAGGAACACGCGGGTTAACTGTTTGTTAAAACTTTATTTTCCGAAACTTTCGAAGATATTAAAAAATATTTCTGACAAAAGTTAAATGGTACTAGGGGCACAATCTCTCATATGAGTACCTTTTTTCTATATGGACGCGTCGAGGTCATATGAAGCTCAAATTTGTATTCTTTTAAAGGAAATCGTATACTTTTTAATGCACTAATTCGCCAAAAGTGACTTAGTATTTTATCTAGGGAATAACGAGTAGCATTAAGTAGTGCATTAAGAAATATACGATTTCGTTTAGAAAAACAAAGTTAACCTTCATACGACCTCTACGTGTCCCCACGAAAGTGTGCCACCTGGTACCAATTAATTTTTGTTTCGAAACCTTTTTTAATATCGCCAATAGTTTCGATTTAAACAGAGCACCCTATATAATATATAAGTTCGTGCTTTCCTCATCATCGAAGCAATCGAACCGATTAAACGCGAAACCACTTCATAGAACCGCCACCAAAATGAAGTCCTCGATTACGATCCTCGATCACGATCCTCGATCTCTGTCCGTGACACATCGCTTGTCACCGTCGATCTCTATCGATAATAATCGCGAATCCACAAGCTACATCATAATGGGGCAACGTCGGCCTGGAAGAGAGCAGACGATCGTAGCAAAGTGGGAACCGCGTATGTCAGCCAGGGAAGATCGAGTTGCGGACGATTTATCATGGGTAACCGCGAGAATGGCCGCACGATTTCATCGAAACCGATTGTTGAGGAGTCCTCGAATGATGGGGGCCGCCATTACGATCAATACACCACGAGGAGTGCGGGACCTGCGATATCAAGGGGGGGGGAAGATAGTTTTTCTCCCGCGGGATTACTCTGGTTCGCGACGACGGAGTATCAAATGACGGTGCAAGTGACACCAAGAGTCTCGGCGACGATAGCGGTGGTATCGGTTCGTTTTATGGGGAAGGGGAGGGGGGTCTATAAACACGTAACCACCTGGGGCCCGGTAATGTTTGGTTAGGTTAGCTTTTTTTTTGCGACGTCAAATGAAATGTATATCACGGTTAAAGAGTTCTGAAGGATTGATTGCTTACGTATCGTGGGGTGAATGGACCCTGATGGCTCCCGATGGAAAAGTTAAATAGGGAATTTTTGAAGATTTTAGTGTGGTGTGGGCTTTAACTAAGGCGTGTAATTTTATTAGTTTGATTGTTTTGTGGTTTGGAGCCTTTTATAAAGGTTTCATGGAAATGGTCTTTAGGATTATGGTAATTTTGTATTCGAGGATTTAGAAAACGATAACATAATGGAATACATAGTATATATTCTTCATGCAAAATATCTTTAAAACGCGATTTCATTTTCACTTAAATTTCATGCGTGTTTTAAATCTATGAGTAATACAAGTGGAGATGTGGCTTAATGCTACAGTGAAACTTTTTCATATATAAATGCTTTAACAATCTAATTCCTTATGCCATCAAGTGTCAATAAACGTAGGATGATTAGAGTGTACTAAAATATAAAACACACAAGTGGAAATGGGGCTTGAGTCCACATTTTAACTGCCGATCTAACAAAAAATACTTAAAAAATCTAATTCCCTCTGGAAACAAGTATTAATAAAGGCACAAGAATCAGATATCTTAACACCTAAAATACACAAGTGGAAAAGGGGCTTAAAGTCACACTTGAACTTCCGTTCCAACTAAAGACACTTTAAAAATCTAATTCCTTCTGGAAACAAGTATTAATAAAGGCACAAGAATCAGATATCTTAACACCTAAAATACACAAGTGGAAAAGGGGCTTAAAGTCACACTTGAACATCCGTTCAAACTAAAGATACTTTAAAAATTTAATTCCTTCTGGAAACAAGTGTCGATAAAACTATGATGCACAGGCACGTCTAACATCTAAATTACACAAGTGGGGACGAGACTTTAAAAGATTGTTGACGAGCAGACAGTTTTCCACTCACCTCTTCGAGTTCTGCGCGCCCATCGCGTTCCAATCACGTCGCGGCGGCAGATTCGAATTTCGCACCGTCGTCGGGCGGGACGTTGTCCGGCGACCAGCAATCGACCGAATAATTTAAATGTCCATCGGAATCGCTAGGTTACGATCGAACCGTTAGACGCGAACCTATCCGATTAACGAGGCGCACGTTTCGCAACACGATATCCTCGTTATAGATCCAGCCCGTTTCGGCGATAGTCTTTTGTCTCACCGACAGACCGCTAAATAATGAGGAACAGGTTATATCGGATCCTTCAATTTGCTTTTCGACTGGGAACACCAATATGGCCACCGCCCCTTAAAATGATGGGACAACCCGAGATATGCGCGCATACACGAGGCAGAAATCGAAATGGCAATCTGCCGCGCGTTTTACGCGAAATGAGCTTTCGCTTCATCGAACCTATGCATGCTGGGATAGAAACGATTATTGCGATTGGGAGTGAAACAATTCGTTCGGCCATTCGTTCATAGATAGATCGTATTCTCTATTGGGTTTGGCAATGAGTAATATAAAGATATTTAGGATGTACTAAATTCTAAAATACACAAGTGGAAATAGGGCTTAATTCGACACTTGAACCTTCGTTCCAACTAAAAATACTTTAAAAATCTGATTCCTTATGGAGACAAGTGTTAATAAAGACAAAATAATTAGAATTTACTAAAGTCCAAAAATGGCGTTCGTTCTGAGAAAATAAAGATGTCAGAGATTTGTTAATGATTAGTGCAAAATATCATTTTTTCTAAGTAGGTATATCAACTGTATTGAAAATCAATTGAATATGTTTTTAAATAGTTTTTAAATTGGTGGAATGTAATATAAAAGATAATTATTCAAATGTAGTGGGATGATAATTTAGTTTGAATTCGCGATGATTTCCCGCCTTTGAAAATTTTAGAAAAGTTAATATATCATTCTATCACGACCAATAAGTGTCGTTTAAATAATGACTACCTAACAACAAATCACGTAAATTCAATAACAAATAGTTCAAGCGACCCAGTGATTAGATTATTTGTCACACGTTAATGACATAAATTCAGTTATTCCGCTGACCGAAAACTTCACATCACTTCCTCTTCAATATTTCTGTAAACATTACAATATTATACCTCGATAAAACCACTATCCAGCGCAATAATGTCAAAATTCCGCGTGGTCAGCATTCCAGCGAGTTTTGACACAGCGTAAACATTCGTCATCAGTAAACACGAAATCCCAGTTAAAAGCCAGCCCGGGTAGCCGAATCCTCAGTTCACTCGACGAACAATCCCGAACGATGTACCTTAATACGTGTGTTTCGTTCCTACTGTTGGGTCTGGTTGTGGTTCAGGCTCTGCCAGCGAGCAAATTTGAGAAGAAGTCGGTAACTGATCAGGGTACACCAGCCACGAAGATTTTAGAACTGAAGGAAATCGGGGATGACAAGAACAGGGATAAGAAATCCATCCCATTCTCCTACACGGAAAAGACTGACGTCCAGGTGTTCAAAGCTGAAGGGGTCCCTCAGGCCCAGGACTGCAACAACCAACAGGGTCAGCAATCTGCCCAGACATTGAACGTGATTCAGGGAACTCAACTGGTCCCCCAACAATCCTTCATAGTCCCGCAACAAATGGTACCCCAGCAATCCTACATGGTCCCCCAGCAGATCGTTCCCCAACAGGTCCTAACTCAGCAGGTGGTTTCACCCGTCCAGACTCTGCAGATCATCCAACCGTCCCGACCCTGTCACCCAAGGATCAACGTGAAAGTCTTCGAAGATAAACCTCTGCCTACCCCAGCACCCACTACTCCTGCTCCCACACCCAAGGAGATCAAGGTAGAGTCTGTCCCCGAGACTAAGCAAACTGAGAAGATGATCGCGCCCCAGATGGAACGGTTTGAAACTTTCAACATGGTCCCTGTGGCACCTGTCTGCAAAGAGGAGCTAATCGTCGTACCTCAGAAACCTCTGGTTGTCGTGCCAGAACCGACTGTGGTCAAGGTCCCGAATTGCTCGCACGGATCTCATCAGGGGATAGTTACTCAGTGCAGTTGCGGGCAGCAGGCTGTCTCTGCTGTGAGGACCAATGGCGTAACGGTCGATCAACTGATGGCGATGAGGGCGCCAGCTTTGAATGGACCCTATTCCGGCAGGATGGCTACTGACTACCACGTTTCCAGGCACTTTTAAATGGTCTAAAGATGGTACGTTATTTATTTAGTATTTATTTTGGGTATCGTGGTAATCGTAATTTGGGTAACCGTGGATATTTCGTAATTTGATTGCTTGGTTAAATTCACTGATAGTATTGAAGCTCTGAGGTCTAATTCTGATTTTTTTTTTTTTGCTTCAACAGGTGTGCTTCGGTGGATCTGACGACCTCATTGTGGCACGATTAGGATCAATAATTGATATTCACCAAGATCAAATAAAAACTATTACTCACATAATTGTGTTTTTCGATGTTGATTACCCTGTCCTATTAATCAATTTTACATCAGCCAATGGGTCTTTTTTATGGGGGTTCTAAATATTTAAAAAGTGATGTTAAATATTAAAAAAAACATTAATTAGATATTAACATCCAACACTGATATTAAATAGAGTACAACCTCCCGTATTCGAACACCTATTATTAGAATATCCTAATATCCGAACGTGCTACTATTCGAAGGTTCTTGTATGGGAACATTCTACTATCCGAACTTATCACTATCCAAACCTTTCACTATTCAAACATTCCACTATCCAAAACTTCCTCTATCTAAACGTTTCAATATTCGAATGTTCTACTACCCGAACTTTCCACTATCCGAACGTTCTACTATCCGAACTTATCACTATCCAAACCTTTCACTATTCAAACATTCCACTATCCAAAACTTCCTCTATCTAAACGTTTCAATATTCGAAGGTTCTACTACCCGAACTTTCCACTATCCGAACGTTATAATATCCGAACTTATCACTATCCAAACCTTCCTCTATCTAAATGTTCCAATATTTAATGGTTCTACTATCCGAACGTTCTATCGAAAATTCCTTTAGCCTTGCATTTCTGCTCCCTACCAGTTCAGATACAGAAGATGCAGCTATCACAACCGCATTATAACAATTTCAACGATTTAAATCAACTTTAATTTTAAATAATAACGAACCGCAACGACACAATTTCCCACGCCTCGCTCAGAAACGCTTATGTTTTTCTACGCCGTTTCCCGTCGGTTAAGTCCTTCCTAAAGAAACGAAGAAAAGAAGAATTCCATCCCTCGTTTCGTCCTTACCCGCGATTTACACGCTCATTTACATTTACATTGTTCCTCCCGCGCTGTAATTGCAGCGTGAAATAAACCGAAGAACCCCGCGGGGAATCCCGGAATTCATAAGGTTCCCACGGAATCGTAGTTATTCTCTCCCCCTTCCCCCCCCTCCCCACCCCCAACTGATTATTATTCATGGCCGTGATGAATAAGCTACGCTCGCTTCTCCGTGCCGGCCATTTCTTTCGTGTGAAAAATACAGCCTTTTCTGGCACATTGAACACAGCAATCTGACCAACAAATATGAATTATTTGTTTGCACTTGAATCGGGGTCGTCGTTGGGAAATTTTTATTGCGGAAATACCTTGCGAAGACATTTTCTGCCGGTAGGAATAATCGAAGAATTTACAATTTTACATTTCAGATCTCTTTTCTTCTTTGTTTTGATCATTTTTGTAACTAAAGATTCGATTTGAAATTCTTGTTGTTGAAAATTACCCTTTTTAACCCTTTAATGTCCAGACATTTAAATCTTTATTTCAAAAATATGGGACTGATAGATATACATCTTGTTATCTTGAAGTCGAAAATATCGATATTCAACTAATCTATTGTTTTTATTTTTTTTTAAATTTATTTTTAACTCTTTAATATCCCTTTCGAGGAAAACAATTATTTCAATTATTTCTCGCGATTAGTTAACTCAAAAATGATTCCAATACGTGCATTTTATCTGTATTTTCACGACAAAACTTGTGGAAATTATGATTTTATAGATGTGACGTGTACGTCACACTGGGCGTTGAAGGGTTAAATATGTAGATATACTTGGTGAATTCCTTTTAGAGTAATTAAAAGAGATTTTAGAGGAGGATAATTAGAGAGAGAGATTAGGAGGATCGATATGGTGTTGGTTGAATTTTCATCGAAATTCCGTTGAATTATTAAGGGCTAATTGATTAATTTAGTTCCGAGCTATTAATATCCGATTTAATACATAACCGCAAGCTTCTATGTACCCATTAGGTCGAGGAATAGGTCGGAAATTGCAAGGTTAACGAGGACCGGAAATGCTCAGTATAAATTTTGATTGTTCTTCTGATTAAATAAACTTTAACATATATCATTGTATAAACAAACCCTGCTTCAAGAGTTCTGGAGTTTCTAATTAAACCAAAACTTGTCAAAATAAATTCAAAATTATACTCATAATAATAGGTTATGTGTGCCATTTGAAATTATTATTAATTTTAACATATTATGTGGTATATTAAAATGTATCAATGTTTCATTACACAACCTATTATTTATCCTATGAAATTATAAATATTTATCTGTATTAAGGAATTTTGAATTTCAATAATATTCCATGACATTTCTGCGAAACAACATGGCGGAAAGATTGAATTTGAACTGTACTGGTATATTGTCCAGACAAAGGAATTGAATATAATATAAAAATAATCGAAAATACGTTCCTGTATAGTGAATTATTCATTGGTATATTACAATATAATAAACAATCACACGGTTATTGCAAAATATATAAATAATTTAAAATGTAGTCACGATAATAAATCTTGCTTCCTCTTCTGGTCACTAAAATATTTCGAGATCGTTTGTTTATCGAATAACACCCGGCAAAATTTTCGTTTCGAATGAATTCACAAAATCCGATCGACCATATCTCATCGATGAATTTGAGCAAACTGCAACCGACCGAGTCGTTGCTACAAATTAAATCCAATTAATAGTTCCCCAAATCGCCCCCCCTGTAAATGGAATTTAAGCTTGCAACCAAATTGGATGGGAAATACACGCCAGCGATCGTAATTCTAAAACTTTCTAGCATAAACTAAGGACGGTAAGGAGAGTGGGGGTATTATGGCGGCATCAATCATCGAACTAGTTTAAATTTTCGAAAATTACTCTAGACCTGAATATTACTTCGATCAAATTACTTTCGTGAGATCGAACGACCAAATAACTAACTGAATAATTAATTGAAACGCTTTTTCAATAACTTTTCTCACTTATCCTATATTTTCCTAACGAAAGCGAACATTGACGGATTTCACAATAATGCAAAATTATTCCAATTTTGTTTTGTTAAATTTTCAACTAAATGTATAATTATTAAAAATTTTCGTCAGCCATCTTAAGCAAATCAGCGTTCCAGTTTCAGTCTGGTCGACTATACAGACAAAAAAAAAAAAAAGAGGATAACGAAAAATCTCTCGAAAGAAGTGAAAAACTAGTTTTTTTTTTCCCTCGGACCAGTGCGATTTACCGCCGAGATCGTCGAAAATATACGTCCGAGCGGGAAATGCGATTATCATGTTCGCGCGGCATTTACGAGGGCAGTCTCGTGGATGGAGAGGGTCAGGTTAGGTTTCCAGATTGGTACCAACCACGATCGATCTCGCCAGGATTCACACATATACTCTGGTTATCCGCGAACCCGTCGATTGATCCAGCGAGTCAACACCAGAGATGTCGACGTCACGCTCACGATCGCGATTAGTCGCGCGAGGGTAAATTTCCACGGGATTTTAGGGCACGTTTACAGAGTACCGTGTGCCGGTTTTGGGAGGATTTTCGGCGGTTTTCAGGGTCCGTTAAGTAGCCGCCGGGTCGTTCTACTCGTTGGAAACTATCCTCGGAGCGGCGACTGTATCGTTGCGGGCAGAAAATTTCTGACTGTAATTCTCTGTAATCACAGCTTATACGAGGATATTGAGGTTAGGACGTCCATAGGTTGGGAATATTAAATCCTTAAAAGCTATCGTGTTGAAATTTCATTTCGTACTAATTGAATTTTAATGCTATTAGAAGAACGTAATTAACGTTTTAGATGTTTATAAAATATTATCGAATTTTCGAGATATCGAAGTTCACTTGTTAATAACGAGTCGAAAATATGAAGGCAGTTGAGCCTGGGTGATAGATAAAGGTCTTTTTTTTGTGCCACTCAATATCATCTCGATATCACTTCAGTATCACTCAATATCACGCAGTGTGACTCAAAATGATTCAATGCGACTCAGTATGACGGAACATTATTCAATCTGACTCAGTATAACTCAATATCATTCAATATCATTCAATATCACTTCAATATCATTTTAATATCACTTCAATAACACTTCAATATCACTCAATATCACTCAATGTGACTCAATGTGACTCAATGTGACTCAATGTGATACAATATGACTCAATATGACTCGATAAATTCAACACGACTGATGAAAATTTAAACAATAACCGGCGTACTCAATAACCACCCGGAAACCTGATCTCCGTTATCGATCCCGGAAACACACGGCGCGAGCTCCGTGAATAAACTAATAAATTCCACCCGAATCAATCAGCCAATTCCATCTCTCGATCGCCCCAGCGAAAAAAAACCCATTTCGCAGGGCTGCTCTCGTGTTCCCAATAACAAATCGTCCCCACTTCCAGCGTGTCGAGAGGTTAGGTCTGGCCGATCGGAGCGCAAACACTCGGAGGTGCATCATCCCCGAACGGGTGGAGGGGGGGTGGGGGGAGTAGAGGATGAGGTTAGGTCGGAAAGCGACGGTAACCCCGACGGGTTCAAAAATAAACGTACCCGTCGTCTCGACGTCCTGAAGATAGAAGCCAAACACCCCGGAGGATTTCCGGTTTTCTTTTGTTTCGCTTGTTCTCCCTCTATGTCCCCTTCCCTTCGCAAGCTTTTTCTCTCTCTCGCTCTCTCTCTCTAGAGACGTGTCGAGTGTCATCTGCCGTAGGAATGTGCAAACATCGGAATACAAATCCCCCCACCCTCCCCTTCCTTTTAAGGTAACCTCGTCCCGTGACGACTCCCTGTTTCTCCAGAGAGGATTTCTTGCAGTTTCTTGGTTTCCCAGAGGAAGAGGCTAGAAAGAAGGTGTTCAGAGGGAAGAGGATGCAGCAGCCTGCCCGTGAACCGATCCTGTGAAATGAATTGGACACCGGTGTTACGCGTCCGTGAAATCGACGGGAACCAACAGTTGACTCGGTCTCCTTCCTCCTGGACCCAGCCATGTCGATCCTCTGCGTAAGCTTGCCCCCCCCCCCACCCCTTTCTCGACCCCATTCATCCTTTTATACTGTCTACCGTTCTGTCGGATTCGGTGTCTCTGATCACCGTTCCTCATGGGCTCTGGGGTTAGAGAGGGACCTG